ATGACTTATCTTATTTTGCGGAAGTTTGGTATTCTAAAGTACAAACTAACTAATGGGTGTCTTGCAATACCGATGTGATAACTTTTTTTCCAGGTCTCTCATCTCTTTCAACGAAAACAAACCTGCACGGTATATTCTGCATTTGTATAATCCGAAGTTTACTAATTGATATTCATATTTCACATGTTAAATGAATGAACAAATATGAAAAATAACATCATTTATTTCGAAATATAACACTGTTTATCTAGAGTGAAAATGAAGCCACAGCTTAATTTGACTTCCAAAAATAGTGAAAGGGGGAGGGGGCAATTCAACATTTTTGTGGAAGGATGAGCAGCTGTGATACTGAACTGTTTCATATATTTTGAATAACACAAATGCATTCCGAATGTTTTACAGAAAATCACAAGACAAAAAGTCAAAGACCTTGATAAATGAAAATTGTTTCCGTTACCATATGTGAGGGTATAAACGGGATGTACTGATTAGAAATAACGGGACCTAAAAATTATAGAAAAGGGAAGAATAGGTGCTGAAAAATAAATACTTGTTAAAATGAAAATAGATAACTTGGGGATTAGGCCTATACCTATTCTTAACAACACTTACATTTTGGCCTATACTATACATATTCTAAACAACTCTTAAATTTTGTTCCCCACATGTTAAAAGTCATGGAGATTTCGGGTCCGACCCTGAACTTCATATGTATTTCTATTTCCAAATTGTCTTAGCTTCTATTTTGTACAACCTGAACAATAATCTGGAAGTTATTCTGTAATTGAGACTGGCAGATATTTTTATTTACATTTTGAAAAAAAAAATAAGCTAAAAGTTAAGTTTGCACTGCAAATTTGGCACGGCGGGAAACAACTTGGAATAACATTTTATCCCTTTATACAAATATGCTATATATTACTATCAGAATCGTGACACACAGTTGTACACAGGATGTATATATCACGGACAGTTTATTTGGTATGGCATATTTCATAAATTTTTTCCTGTGCACACCTGGTTCACTTGCGATCACGCACGCGACTCATGTACCTTGTTCATTGTGTATTAACAAACCTGCCAGGAAGTCAACCGTTAGAATACCCAAATGTGTCACTTTGACACCACCCTGGTAATAATTAAGCCATGCTGATTACCTTAGACAATTTTTTGAACATTGGTCAAGTTAGGAGGAAAATCCAAAATAAACTAAAAATATAAGTTAAAAAAAAGCATTAAAAAAAAATATTTTCAAAAGATCTCAAATCAACACCTTTTTAAAATCTAAATGAGAGCATAACGATATATCTCAGTTTATAATTCCTCCAGAATAAGAATCTGCGGACTTTTTTTTCCTTTATTGAGACTACTATTACATTATAATAGCCTAAGCCCTATATAATACTTGATACTATATCTCAGAGCAAAAATGTAAATTTAACGACGAGCTAAAACCGATGTACGATCTTCTGTCATTTACAGCTCTTAAACCTGACTTAGGCATTGTACGCTGACTATTTCTTATATATATATAAACCCATTGAAACAATTAAGATGTCTTGTAAAGTATTCTAATAAATTTTAGTAAAGCATTACTTGATTTTATGATATTGTCTGTTTTTCATACTTCTTATTTTAATAATCGTAGTGGGAATTATTCTATACCAAAGCACTTGAACATGTTAACAAAAAAAAACTATAGAAATTAAAAAAAAAGTGTTGTTTTATTTCTCCACCAGAGACAAAATTACATAGAAGTTAACAACTGTAGGTTACAATTAATTTTAATAGATTTAAAGCACCTGGCCTTTGAGTTCATACTATTTTGCACAGCCATGTCTTTAGAACGGAGAACAACAGAAAAGCAATAACTATCTCTTAATATAACTGCCAAAGTTATAATTACCATCAAATTTCCTTCGAAACAAGATGTTTCAAAATGGTCCTCACACACAACCTTGTTCTTGGTACATATTGATATTTTATAAAAGTTTAAATGTACAACTTTATATGATGTACATATTATTAACCTAAATAAATCCCATTGGGAGTGACTCTTAGAAAGGGTGAACCTACCCGACAGGTAACAGGTAACTAATAAAGCTTGCTTCTTGTAAGTTTAAGTTGCAGATCCAAGTCTGGTACAATTCTTTCTTTTTTACTGGATCTGGGAAACTATGTAGGCTTTTTCCATTGCTTGGTCGGGTAGAACATCCATAAGCTTGACAAGTCATTTTAACACTGATTAACGATTATGACATGTCATGCTAGGTACTAGGACTTTGTGGTGATTAGATATCACGTGATCATTATATATAATTAGTTTTGAAAGGCTGTCAAAATGGTGATTTGTTGAGAATTGATAGTCGGTTTTAAAAATCAATTAATTCACTTATCTAGATGAATAAACCTTTAATATTTAATATCAAATTTTTTTTTTGCGAATTTTCCCTTTAATATAGTTATTAGGAGGGCCCTCAGGATTATCATACTATACTTGAGTGGCAGTTTTATTACAGGAAAGGGATTATAAAGCAAAAACAAGTGCAAAATGGCGATTAAGAAACCCGATCACAATAAAATGACTGAAATTATTTCTGTAAAAAAATCAAATTTGTCCTACATCCCAATTTTTAGTTTAGGACAAATAGCTTTCAGTTAAGGTCATGTCTGGCAAATATGACTGTTTCCGGACCCTTGGCGCTAGTTAACTAACTTATTAAAAGCTTAATATTTCAGAAGGTAGAAGACCTGAATCCTTCATACTTTGTATGTAGATGCCTTATATTATGAAGTTTCCGTATGTCATATGTCCATTGTCCTTGACCTCATTTTTATGGTTCAGTGACTACTTGAAAAAAAAGTTCAATTTTTTAGTATTCTTAATTTCTCTCTTAATATAAGTAATAGGATAACTATATTTGGTATGTGCGTACCTTGCAAGGTCCTCATGCCTGTCAGACAGTTTTCATTTGACCTCAACCTCATTTCATAGATCAGTGAACAAGGTTAAGTTTTGGTGGTCAAGTCCATATCTCAGATACTTTAAGCAATAGGTCTACTATATTTGGTATATGGAATGATTGTAAGGTGTACATGTCCAACTGGCAGGTGTCATCTGACCTTGACCTCATTTTCATGGTTCAGTGGTTAAAGTTAAGTTTTTGTGTTATGGTCTGTTTTTCTAACACTGTATGCAATAGATCAACTATATTTGGTGTATGGAATGATTGTAAGGTGTATAAGTCTGTCTGGCAATTATCATCTGACCATCACCTCATTTTCATGGTTCATTGGTCAATCTTAAGTTTTCCTGGTTAAGTTTGTTTCTTAAATACTATATGCAATAGGTCAACTATATTTAAAGCATGTAATGATTGTGAGTTGTACATGTCTGTCTGGCAGGTTCATCTGACCTTGACCTCATTTTCATGGTTCATTGATCAATGTTAAGCTTTCCTGGTTAAGTTTGTTTCTTAGATGTGCAATAGGTCAACTATATTTAAAGCATATTTGGTGTATGGAATGATTGTAAAGTATACATGTATTTCCAGTTTGGGTTATCTGACCTTGACCTCATTTTCTTGGATCATGTTAAGTTTATGTGATAGTTATAGTAAAGCTTTATATTTAGGACTATCAACATAATATCAATGGTTAGTAAAGAAGGCGAGACATTTCAGTGGGTGTACTCTTGTTACAGTTAACATTCAGATTTAGTCTGAAGTTAAAGTTTTTCAGTCATCAATTACTTTGTCAAACCTTCATGGAAAATTATGAAATTTGGACAGAAGCTTGTTTATGACAAAAATACAGTATCCAGAGCAAATGTTTGAAAATATTTATTTTCATTTTCCCGCTTTTTACTGATAAATGTACTTAGTTTTTTTACAGTTAACAAGTAGATACAGTCTGGATTTAAAGTTTGTTACACATCAATTACTTTGTCAAACCTTCATAGAGTTTTATGAAACTTTGGCAGATGCTTTTTAATGATTTTAAAAGAGATAATGTCTGAAGCAAACCTTTGAAAATATATTATTTTTATTATTTGTATTTTTCTGATAGATGGACTTCATTTTTTACAGTTAACATTTACAGACAGTCTGGGATTAAACTTTTTTGACATGATAAATTTGTTTACCTTCATGGATTGTTATGAAACTTGCACAGAAGCTAATCTTCTAGAACAAGAAATGGCATCTAAAGAAAGTTTTTTTTTTTTTTTAAATTCTATATTTTACTGATAAATGGACTCACTTTTAAGTCAATATTACACTTTTACGCTGACAGAAGCAATTTCAGGCGAGACACAGGGTTCCGCAGAACCCCTAACAAATTGTATGTATGTGAGTCTATTATGATGAGTTACAGATCAAGTTTAAGTTTGGTTCTGATCCGCTGATTTTTGCCAAAACTACTGTATACAGGGTTTGGACTTTGCAAAATTTTGTGAAAACAACAGTTATATAGACTTTTTTTCCAAACGCCTTCACATATTGAGCTGATTTTTATTATGTGTGTCTACTATGATGAATTACATATCAAGTTTATGTTTGGTTCTCAGCTCCGCTAATAGTTGCTGAAATTATGGGCTTTGGACTTTGAAAATTTTGTGAAAACAAATATGGACTTTTTTTCTAAACGCCTTCACATATTGAGCTGATTTTTATATGTGAGTCTTCTATGATGAGTTACAGATTGAGTTTATGTTTGGTTCTACCCTGCTGATTTATGCCGAAATTACGGGCTTTGGACTTTGAAAATTTCATGAAAATAACATTTATACGGACTTTCATTCTCAAATTTCCACTCCTAAAAATGCCTTCAAGCTTTTTATGCGAGCAGGGCCATTCCTGTCGTTCCAACACATCTAGTTTACTTATATTGTTCCAGATTTATTGTTGGTGTTATACAGAACTACAGATGTTATTGAAAAGTGATCATTATCATTTAGATTGAGAAAGTGTTTGTATAAAACCATTTATGTCTCATTTTAGGGAATTGAAACTGGATAAAAATGCAGAAATAATGTCACTGAAGAATGAATCGGAAAAATTAAAGAAAGCTCTTAATGCGGCAGTAAGTTTGTAGAGAAGGTAGATCATTTTTGTAAGCTTAAATTATGGCCATAAAACCTTATGTATTTAAAAGTACCAGTAGTACTTGAGCATCACTTTTTCTTAGATCTTTCTTCAAATAGCTCTCCCTATTAGTAGAATGATTGGCCATGATGTGTAGTTGATAATATTTTGCTTCCATTTTTTTAGCTCACCGGGCCCATGTGAGCTTATGCCATCAGTTGGCGTCCCTCGTAGTCATCGTCGTCTGTCGTCGTAAACTATTTAAAAAATCTTCTCCTCTGAAACTACTGGGCCAAATACCTTCAAACTTTAACTAAATGTTCCTTAGGGTATCTAGTTTATAAATTGTATCCGTAGTTTTGATCCATCGACAAACATGGCCACCATGGCTAAAAATAGAACATAGGGGTCAAATGCAGTTTTTGGCTTATATCTCAAAAACTAAAGAGTTTAGAGCAAATCTGACCTTGGGTAAAATTGTTCAATTGGTCAAGATCTATCAGCTCTGAAATTTTCAGTTGAATCGAACAACCCATTGTTGGGTTGCTGCCACCGAATTGGTAGTTTTAACAAAATTTTGCAGTTTTTTGTTATTATTTTGAATATTATTATAGATATATATACTCTGTAAGCAGCAATAATGTTCAGCAAAGTAAGATCTACAAAAAAGTTAATATGACCATAATTGTCAATTGACCCCTTAAGGAGTTATTGCCCTTTAAAGACAATTTTACACAATTTGTTCATCAAGTTTGCTAACATTTAAAAATCTTCTCCTCTGAAACTACTGGGCCAATTACCTTCAAACTTTAACTAAATGTTCCTTAGGGTATCTTGTTTATAAATTGTATCCATCAACAAACATGGCCGCTATGGCTAAAAATAGAACATAAGGGTCAAATGCAGTTTTTGGCTTATATCTCAAAAACTAAATCTTTTAGAGCAAATGTGACATGGGGTAAAATTGTTTAATTGGTCAAGATCTATCGGCCCTGAAATTATCAGACGAATCGAACAATCCATTGTTGGGTTACTGCCACCGAACTGGTAGTTTTAACAAAATTATAAGGAGTTATTGCCCTTTAAAGATAATTTTACACAATTTGTTCATCAAGTTTGCTAACATTTAAAAATCTTCTCCTCTGAAATACAGGTGAGCGATTCAGGCTCTTGAGAGCCTCTTGTTTCTCACCTGCGACGAAAATCATAGAAGGCGAGACATAGGTATTGCTTTTCACGCAGCAGGATTTTGTCCCATGATGGGGTTAGTTAGATTTACAGTCGACTACTTTTTCTGCATTAATCAATTAACATTTTATGCATATTATATGAACATAAACAACACAAGTAGTGCCAGACATTAGAATGCTGTTTTACAAAAATGTTCTCCTTTGAAACTACTGGGCCAGATTTAACCAAACTTGGCCACAATCATTATTGGGGTATCTAGTTTAAAAAATTTGTCCGATGACCTCGCCCGCCAACCAAGATGGCCCACATGGCTAAAAATAGAACATAGGGGTAAAACGCAGTTTTTGGCTTATATCTCTGAAACTAAAGCTTTTAGAGCAAATCTGACATGGTTAAAAATGTACATCAGGTTTAGATCTATCTGCCTCAAAATTTTCAGACGAATCAGACAACCGGTTGTTGGGTTGCTGCCCCTGAATTGGTAATTTTAAGGAAATTTTGCAGTTTTTGGTTATTATCTTAAATATTATTATAGATAGAGATAAACTGTAAACAACAATAATGTTCAGCAAAGTAAGATCTACAAATAAGTCAATATGACCAAAATTGTAAATTGACCCCTTAAGGAGTTATTGCCCTTTATAGTCAATTTTTTACAATTTTTTTCGTAAATTTTTGTAATCTTTTACAAAAATCTTCTTCACTTAATCTACTGGGCCAAATAGAATTGAAATTAGCCACAATTTTCAATAGGGTATCTTGATTGAAAAATATATCCGATGACCCTGCCATCCAACCAATATGGCCGTCATGGCTAAAAATAGAACATAGGGATTTACTATAGAAGTCTAGGGAAAATTGTAAAAAAAACAATTTCAAATGGTCACAACTTGAAAACTAATTTAAATAATGATAAGGGGTCTTCAGTAACTATTTTAAGACTAGTTACTAGTGGGATGACCTGCTTTTAATTTAACTACTGGGCCAAATTAAACCAAACTTAGACTCAATCATTATTAGGATATCTAATACTATTTATTATGATTTTAACCTTATTTTATATGATTTCCAAAACCACAGTAGATACAGCTGAGCGACACAGGCTCTTGAGAGCCTCTAGTTTCTTGGAGAAGTCATGTGTTGGTTGTTTGTGTGGTCTAAGGTTCATTAATATGTCAAATATTTTTGGTAATTCCTTGTATCCTTTTTATGTACATGATGTATTCTTTGAAGTTTTTTTGTATATGTAGGTAAAAAAAATATCAAACTTATAAATAATAGATGTACTTTATCTTTTAATAGGATGGAAATGAAAGACTTCAAATCGAAAAAAAATGGCACCAAACATTCCAGGATATGAAAATTATATGTGGAAAAGCAAGATCAGAAAAGGCCAAGAAGCAGCTGAAGAAAGTCTACAAGTCAAGACTTAGGGTAATTTCCATTTTAATTTGTAAATTTATTGGAAAGCATATTTTTTTAATTGATTGTTATGGTTACATCCTGTTGTGAATTTAACTTTGATATTCTATTGATGTGAAGAGATGAAAGACCAAAAGTGAGTGCTTTGTCGCTGAAATCAAGACATATGGATAATGATCGGGTGGCGGCGTTGTTAACTTATTACCCCTGCGAAATGCGTTGCTGGGGACATGGAAATACTGGGCATCCGTCAGTCCTTGCGTCCTTCTGTCTGTCCTGTCTTGCTAGCGCCCTCAGGTGTACTGTTCTTGCCAGATTTTTATGAAACTTATATCATAGGTTTATATCAGCAATGTCTTGGATGAGTTTGAAAAACCAGTGCGGATCAATTATTATACCCCCGCTTTAAAAAAGTGGGGGTATACTGTTTTACCTCTGTCTGTCCTTCCGTTAGTCCATCCGTCAGTCCGTCCGTTCCATGAATATTTTCGTCGCATTTTTCTCAGGAACTACTTGACAAGGATTTCTGAAATTTGGTTTCATGGTTTATATAAGTAAGTTACACCGTGTGATGCGTTTTCAGATTCATCACTCAACAACTTCCTGTTTACCGAACACTTGTATTATTTTACACATGATAGCCAAGTTGAAAATTTTCGTCACATTTTTCTCAGGAACTACTTTACAAGAATTTCTGAAATTTGGTTTCAGGGTTTAAATAAGTCAGCGATACCGTGTGATGCGTTTTCAGATTCATCACTCAACGACTTCCTGTTTACCGAAATATATCGGCGGAGGTATCATCAGTGAGCAGTAGCTCACAGTTTTACTTGTTTTTAAAAGAGTTATGCCCCTTGGAAACATTAATTATGTGGAAAATTGAATCGGTAGCTCTCTCATGTGTACAATTCTTGCCAGATTTTTATGAAACTTATATCATAGGTTTATATTAACAATTTCTTGGACGAGTTCGAAAATCAGTGGCGATCATTTATTTTTGAAAGAGTTATGCCCTTAGAAATATTAATTTTATTGTTTTTATATGCCCATTTACGGGACGTATTCTGGTATACCGTTGTACGTCCGTCTGTCAGTCCGTCTGTCCGTCTGTCCGTCGTCAACATGTCGGACATTAACTCAAAAACGCTTTAACCAATTTGCTTAAAACTTTGGTGAATTATTTATATCTATTGACGTGAGCTCCCTTTTGTTTTTTATAAATTTTAGATTTTACGTTTCCGAGTTATGGGGTTTTATTCATTAAAAAAAGGGGGATTTTCCAGTTTTCGGACAATAACTCAAGAATGCTTTCACCAACTTGCAAGAAATTTTGGTTAATTGTATATATCTATTGACATGAGCTCCCTTGGGATTTTTATAAATTTTAGATTTTACGTTTCCGAGTTATGGGGTTTTATTCATGAAAAAAAGGGGGATTTTCCAGTTTTCGAACAATAACTCAAAAATGCTTTCAGCAGTTCTCATGAAACTTTGATGTTGATATCTATTGATGTAAGCTCCCTTTAGAATTTTATAAATTTTAGATTTTACATTTCCGAATTATGGGGTTTATTCATTAAAAAAGGGGGGATTTTCCAGTTTTCAGACAAAAACTCAAAAATGCTTTCAGCAATTCGTATGAAACTTTGGTGAACTGTTTATATCTATTGATGTAAGCTCCCTTTAGAATTTTATAAATTTTATTGTTTATAGTCTGACAACAGATTTACTAAGTATTACGCAACAGCACAGTGTATTGCACAACAGCAAGAAATCTTTAATTGAATATAAATTCAATTCATATAACCAACTTCAAGTTCTTTGACTACATTTATTCAGAAACCTATAATAGATGTATGTCATATATTTAATTACAATCCTAATTCAGACCTGTATCAAGCTTGAATATTGTGTCCATTTTTGCCCCAACTGTTCAGGGTTAGACCTCTGCTGGCGTATCCAGCTGCGCTCATCGAAGCAGTTTATTAAAACAGTTATGCCCCTTGGAAATATTAATTATATGGAAAAATTGCCTTATGAGCAAGGCTTCCAAAACGGTCATATATTCCGGACAATTGTATAATGTCCGGTAAAAGTCCGGCTGGGCAAAGCATGAAACGGTCATCTACTTTTTAGTTGTCAAGGCTTTCTTGAGAGATGGTCATTTTAGAATAATTCGCGATCTTTTTGACCCAACCTTTTGCCTTTAACAGCCACACATTTCCGGTCATAAAAGTAACATGATGATTAATTACTATCAAAACAACCCCTACTTCAATACTTTCTAATTTTAATCAAGGCTAATTAGTTGTTGGACAGCTGAAATCTACCTGTTCAGGTGACAGGTAAACTATTTCCAGTACCGGACATCGAATAAATTGATCGGTCTATTCAAAGTTAATTTCTTACATTTCAGCGGTTTCTATCTAATTGATTTAGTCCAAAAGATTGAAATTATAAGAAATACGTTTATAAACATGATTTGATGAAAAATTTAAAAAGGTTTTAAATGAAAAATCGTAAGAACTACGTTGTATGAACTAGAACACGTGTGCGCATGTGCGCAGTAGGGAAATTTAATTATGCATCCTACATTTCTTAGAAATGATAAAAATTATCATTGATACTTGTATCTAATGTTCATTTCAAGTATTTTGTTGAAGAAATAACGTGGAAAGAGCTTCTTCACTCAGTCGTGCTTTGTAAACGTATACGGATTTTACGTATCCGTTTCTGGTCCATGTTTTACCATTGTCAGGTCAACATCCGGTATTAGGAAAATGTGATTTTAAAAACGAAATTAAAGTTTTTGACAACGTAATTTAGCACAAATAAAGAGTCTAAGGCAGTCATGAGCACGCTGATGTGCACACTTCGAATTATGCACTGCCAATTTAACAGTTTACGTCCGAACATCAAATTCACATCAAAGTAAAGTTTAATATCGCTTTTTTTTTTTAATCTAATGTCAATCATTGGGATGGCCATCTGATTACCATGATTGCCTTTTGTTACTTAGTCTTAAGGGATTAAAATCCGGATAAGATTAAAAATGTCCGGCTGGCTCAAATATTTTTTGGAAGCCCTGCTTATGAGCGCTTTTATGTGTACAATTCTTGCCAGATGTTTATGAAATTTATATTATAGGTTTATATCATCAATGTTTTTGATGAGTTTGAAAATCAGTGCCGATCAATTATTTTTAAAAGAATTAGCCCCTTGGAAATACTGATTTTATGGAAAATTGCATTGTTAGCACTCTCATGTATACAATTCTTTCCAAATTTTTATGAAATTTATATTATAGGTTTATATCATCAATGTCTCAGACAAATTTGAAAATTGGTACCGATCAATTATTTTCTATTGAGTTATGTCCCTTGGAAATATTGATTAGGCCAAATAAAAGTATATGTGTTATTACATCCTGAAAAAAAATAGGGTTGGTAGATCGGCAATTTTTTTTTGGATTGTCAAAATCCAGAAAAATATCGTGTTCACCGAGTCGGATTCCGGTATTAGACACGTCCCTACTGGAAGTTTGCCATTTTCCATATGTTTGGTTGTTAAATAAACAGATATGTTACGTTTTTAATTAATTTTGTTGCATTCTGTTAAGAATTTGTTGCATTTTAGCCATAGTGGATACTTATAATGGAAATTCATTGACAGAAGTCTGTGAATTTAATTATTTGAATTCACATTCCACAAAATTTAATTAATTAAATTCACATTCCACAAAATGGGATCGTTCGGAAATTATTTTTCAGAAATGGGGAAAAAAGTTCTAGGGTCGGGGGGTTTAAATTAGGGTCTGTCGGGTAACTGGAACCACACATATTCTTTTATTTGGCCTTCTATAGAAAATTACATTGTTAGCGCTCTCATGTATACAATTCTTGCCAGAATTTTATGAAACTTATATCATAGGTTTATATCAGCAATGTCTTTGACACTTTCAAAAATAAGTACTGATCAAATATTTTTAACGAGTTATGCCCCTTGGAAAAATTATTTGTAACTTAAATCGCATTGCATTTGCTCTGAAGCCTTCATTTCTCTAAGATATTTATAAATTATTTAAAAGAACCAAAAAAAAGCACTTTTTTATACGTCGTATATTGGTATGACGTTGGCGTCGTCGTCGTCGTCCGAAGACACATTGGTTTTCGCACAATAACTTTAGTTAAAGTGAACGGATCTCTATGAAATTTTACCATAAGGTTCAATGCCACAAAAGGAAGGTTTGGATTGATTTTGGGGGTTATGGTACCAACAGTTAAGGAATTAGGGGCCAAAAAGGGGCCAAAAATAAGCATTTTTGTAAGTTCCAGACAATAACTTGTGTGTTAGTGTATGGATCTCTCTGATATTGTACCACAAGGTTCCATATCACAAAGGGAATGCTAAGATTGGTTTGGGGTAATTGCCTCAAAATTTTAGGAATTAGGGGCCAAAAAAGGGGCAAAAAACAAGCATTTTTCTAGTTTCATGACAATAACTTGTGTGTAAGTGTATGGATCTTTCTGAAATTGTACTACAAGGTTCCATATCACAAAGGAAAAGCTGGAATTGAGTTTGGGGGTAATTGCCAAAACACTTAGAAAAAGGGGCCAAAAAGGGGCCAAAAATAAGTATTTTTCTAGTTTTCAGACAATATCTTGTGTTCAAGTGTATGGATCTCTCTGAAATTGTACTGCAAGGTACCATACCACAAAGGGAAGGCTGGGATTGATTTTGGGGGTAATTGCCTCAAAATTTTAGGAATTAGGGGCCAAAAAACAAGCATTTTTCTAGTTTCAGGACAATAACTTGTGTGTAAGTGTATGGATCTTTATGAAATTGTACTACAAGGTTCCATATCACAAAGTGAAAGCTGGGTTTGAGTTTGGGGGTAATTGCCCTAAACGTTTAGGAATTTGGGGCAAAAAAGGGGCTAAAAAACAAGCATTTTTCTAGTTTCCTTTTTTTCCTTTTTATTTTTTTTAAAAATTTTCCATTTTAAGTTGGTT